TTAAAAAATAGGGACTTTTTACTTCTTCTGGAGAAAAAAAAAAAATCAGAAGATCTGGCTACACTGGGCCAGCACCTCTGCATAGCAATTATTAGCTTGTCCCCTTTACAGAGGGCTGTTATTGCTAATTTATCACAGTCCCCACTACTCTTTGGTGTCCTATAACCAAGACTACCTTCCATCTCAGGCTCTGTAGACCTAGACAATTTGTCCCTCACACAGCTTTCAGGAAGAGAACAATCACCCCATCACCCTATGGCATCAGCACAGATAATTCAAATCTCTCTCTGCCACAGCTCTCTTCTGAGCTCCACACTCATTTCCACATATATTCTGGACATTCTCTACAGAATATCTGTCAGTCTGTCCTTCCTTCTTTGCTTGCTTCCTTCCATCAAGAAAATAGGCACCAGAATGTAAAGAAGATACCTGCTTTATCCCTCATGTAGCTGGTGGGTGAAATTGGCATGCATGGAAACCATATGGCATGTGCTGTGGTTAAGGTGTATGCAGGAAGTTATGGAACTTAGCAGACCAGGAAGGGAAGTAGGGGAGTAGTCAGGGAAGGCTTTTGGAAGCAAATTGAAGCTGATTTGATTAACTCAGGCAAAAATGGGATGGGAGAATGGTAGAGGATGACATTTTTTCCAAGAGCACTGATAGAAGCCAGAAACATTAAGGGCCCATTCTGCCTCCTTCATTTATTGTACCAATGTTTTGAGTGTCTACTCTGTGCAGGCCATTCATAGAACTAGTGGTAACCAAGACTGAAATAGTCCCATGGAACTTAGAATCGAGAGGAGTCTGGGAAACCAAGTAGATGGAGGGTCATTCCCTGAGATGAGGCATCCATGAGAGTCCAGGGAGGTGAACGTAGTTTTAGATATTGAGCTTGAGGGACCTGCACCCTGGTGGAAATGCCCAGTAGGCAGTTGCACAAAAGTCTGGAATCTAGAGAGAGATGGGGGCAGACATGAAATTAGAAGTTAGTCCATAGGTGGTAATTGAGGAGCTGTGAAGTAGGAAATTACCAGAATGAAAGAGCATACACAAGAGATAGGAACAGCAGACTGATGACTAGAGCCTCCTTCAGGCATGCCTTTTCCTCTGCAAAGGAGGGATTGCATAGGTAAGAAGAAACATAAGAGGGTCATGTCTTAGAAAATAAGAGAAAACAATTTCAGGGAAGAAGGGGAAAGATCATATCAGAAAACAATGAAGACCATCCATTTAGATTTAGCCAAAGAGGTCATTCAACAGATTCACAGTGTCCCAACCCTTTTGGCTGACCACAGATCTGCTGCCTCTTGGGTTTTTTTCCCCTGATGATGCTGTTAGCATGCAGAGATGCTCCTACAGAGGAAACTTCAGTTGCCACTGACTCCTACTGCTGCTCCTTCATTTCCTGACTGTACCCTGAAGGTAGCCCCTCTTACCCAGTCAACTACCCTACACATTTAGGCTGTATTTCTTACTGTAATGGATTGTTGCAAATGCCCTTTGAAATTCTGGTATTACTTACTTCTCTCTTCAGCCATACTAGGTTTGCTCCATTTCCTCATCAGGCTATATGGGTGTTGAGATTTGGGACTTTCACATAAGCTCTTTCTTCTACCTGGAGTACCCACCTTTCTTCACATGCTTGGCAAAACCATTAGTCATCCTTCAAAATCCTGTTCCTCTTCTCCCAAGAAGCTTTTGGTAGAATAACTGATTCCTTCCCTTAAGTTCTCAAAGCATTCTGTTCATACCTGTTTCATGGAGTCTATACCAGTATGTTATAGATGCATTACCAACCTGCCCATCTGCCCCCTTTACATAATTTCGGATGAACACTCCAAGAGTTTGAGTTGATGGTTTTCACACACTGCCGTTATCCTGGGTTTATACCTGTATTCTCTATGGCTGTCTTAATAGCAGGAATGAATACAGGGGGATAGTCAACTATTTCTTTTTTTTTTAATTATTTTTTTAAGATTTTATTCATTTATTTGAGAGAGAGAGAGAATGAGAGAGAGAGAGAGCATGAGAGGAAAGAGATCAGGGGGAGAAGCAGAATCCCTGGTGAGCAGAAAGCCTGATGTGGGACTCGATCCTGGGACTCCAGGGTCATGACCTGAGTTGGAGGCAGTTGCTCAACAAACTGAGCCACCCAGGTTCCCCGATAGTCAACTATTTCACATTGAAAGTAATCAGATGTGTAGTAGCTACAGGAAATGTAAACGTATTATAAATGTGGACATTGACCAACTTTGGGAGGAGAATTAAAGGAGATGTTGTGGGATAAACACGGTGGGTTTTAGTTCCTAGATGCGTAAGTGGAAAGAATCTTCTGTGTTCATCCTTTAGCTCAAAAAAGAAAAATGTCATTTTTAAAGTTAAAGTGTAGGAGATTGGGGGTGGAGGAGCATCCTATTACTCCAAGAAAAAAACCCTAATATTCTCAGAGATCCCTTCCTTCCCTTATTGCAGATAATGTTGACGTTCTCTGGAGCAGCTGTGTCCATAATTCTCTGATTAATTCTAATGGGACCACTATCTCATTAACATATCAGGAGTCCATTCATTCATCTTGCCTGGAGGTCAGATATTACAGGAGAATCTAAAATTCAAAGAAGTAAATCAACAAGCAAACCTACAGTATAAACAATCAAACAAAACCTTAGTAAAATTTTACTAAAGATTGATTTTCACAATATATTGAGAACTCCTCTAAGACACTGATCAAAACATACTAATGTCTAAGACAAGGAAATGATTGGAAGAGAAATAATATGTATATAATAGAACATTTGTCACACTAAGAACTTAACATAGCTTTGTAGAAGAGTATTGCTATCTACAAATTAGAGTTTGTAAGGGTAACACTATGAGCTAATCTAGCAATCTATCCTACATGGGCTAGGTACAGAGCAGAACTATTATTTAAACATGAGAGGTGGATGCTTCAGTATGAGATATAAATAACATTTTAAGTAAGAAGTCATCAATTCAAACGCCTGCATGGTACAGGCAAGTCACATGATCGGGCCTGTTGGAGGGGTCCAGACAGTTAGGGAGTTGGGGGCTTGCAGTAAACTGAGGAGAGAGTATCTCATCTAAAGAGAACAGAGATTCATCCCCTGCCCCTTGGTAACAGGCCAGGTATGGACTCTATATTGCTGTATGACTTGATTTTGCTAAGAAGCCAGTAGTCTTCATTTGTATATCAAAATGTCCTGCTTTTTAAGACATTATGTGAGTCAAATGACATGTCTCTGAAGGCAACATTTGCTCTATTGGCTTCCAGTTTGCAGCACTCATTTTGAAAGTCCAGGTTACTTCTTACCTGCCTTAATCCTTGCTGGAGAAAACATCTGAGCCCTATGAGGTGATGCTGCGTAGCATAAACTGTATTTCTCCTGGAAATGCTTTAAGAGCTTCAAGGAGCTCAGGCCACAAGCAAAACAGTCATCTGGAGGAGAATTGCCCATTTCCAATCAGGGTAGTGGAACTGATTTTCTCCAGAGCAGCTATGAACCTGCACCTCCTTTAGAGAAAATCTCTGCTCCCTTTAAGATGACAAATGTCATTCAAATGTCTCTTGTCACAACAGGAAAAGGCAGGCTGCTTGGGATTAAACATTTTCCCTGTCCCATCTATGCATATTGGCCCAACTGATAGAACTTGTTTATAAAAATCAGAGGAGGAGTGAGGAGTAGTGGAATGGATCAGATGACTTTTCTTTTTTTTCTTTTTTAAAGATTTTATTTATCTGACAGAAAAGATATCACAAGCAGGCAGAGAGGCAGGCAGAGAGAGAGGGAGAAGCAGGCTCCCCACTGAGCAGAGAGCCCAATGCGGGGCTCAGTCCCAGTACCCTGAGATCATGACCTGAGCCGAAGGCAGAGGCTTAACCCACTGAGCCACCCAGGCGCCCCCAGATGACTTTTCAATGGCAGAAACAGCACTGACATCAACAAATTTGCTTCAAGATCTACCGCGCCACTAAATGCCATCATCACAGTTTTCTTTCTTTTTTTTTTTTTTTAAATATTTTATTTATTTATTTATTTGATGAGCGAAGAGAGAGAAAGAGCACAAGTAGCAGAGCAGCAGGCAGAGAGAGAGGTAGAATCAGGCTTCCCACTGAGCAGGGAGCCAGCCCAATGTGGAGCTTCATCCCAGGATGCTGGGATCATGACCCAAGCCGAAGGTAGATGCTTAACTGACTGAGCAACCCTCACGGCCTGTCTAGGTATATTTCTGAGTCAATTTAGAAAACTGTGATGAGGGACACTTGGGTGGCTCCACTGGTTATGCGTCTGCCTTCGGCTCAAGTCCTGTTCCCGGGGTCCTGGGATTGAGCCTGGCATTGGGCTCCCTGCTCAGTGGGAAGCCTGCTTCTCCCTTTCCCTGTGCCCCTCTCCCTGCTTGTGCACACTCTCTCTCTCTCTTTCTCTCACTCTCTCTCTCTCTGTGTCAAATAAATAAATAAATCTTTAAAAGAAAAAAAGAAATATACCTAGAGAAGAATTTGAAAAGGAAAAAGTATATATTGGATTCATTTTATCTAGGATATTACACACATACATATGCATATATCAGAGACACTGCTTTTATATCAGATAAATTTTTTTAAAAAATTAAGGTTCAGGTAAATAAAACATGTTCAGTGAACATGGACAATTTTCTTTTTAGCAAATCTTATGAATGAATTCCTTAGGAAAGAATCCTTTTAACATATGAAACAGACATGTAGAGGTTCCTTATAAATTTATATTCCTATATAAATTCATACAAGTTCTATAAATTTATGTTTCTATATTAAATATCTGGAGATGAGTCTGATGGCTAACTCAGGCATGTAGAAAAATTATAAACCTGACATATTTTTTTGAACAGCATTGTTTTCCTGGGAAGTACATAAGAGGCTTAAGCTTTATGCCTTGATGCAAAGAGGCAGGGTGGGTTGGGAGCTGGCAGAAAACCTCACACTGTGTCATTTCTGTGTCTGTAAGGGAAGAGCGTTTGCACCACCAGGTGGACTACCAAAGCTGAACTCTCAGGAGGAAGAGATTTTGCCCCAGTGAGATAATCGGGCTCTTCTCGACCCCAGCAGACCCCCAGGGGACCCAGCTTCCACGGTAAGTCAAACTACTACTAAAGGAAACAGAATGCATGTTCCTATCTTACTAAAGTGGGATTTTTTCCTTCCAGAGGAATCCTAAGAAAGCTGTTAGCATTGCCCATTTGTGCTGCTGATTGGAATCAGGGCTTCCATAAATTGTAAGCCAACTTGATCAGCATATTGAAGCGTAGTCTGGATCCGCAGTTGTGTAAGTGTGAATACTTGGAGAAACTGCTTGCTGGGGTGAGCCGTGAGAAAGGTCATGTGGGGACAGCATTTGTCCGCCATTCAACCTTCAGTTGTATCTAATGAGAACCTACGATAAGAAAGGAAAACAATCTCCAACTTTGGCTCCGATTGGTCCATAAGTACTTTTCTGGTCTTCACAGAGGGTCAAGGTTATGGGGAGAGAAGGAACTTGCAATAATACCCACCTTACAAGTTAGATGACTTGACTGAAATTTTTCAGGATATTTCTGTTGGTTTTTTCCCCTCTGTTCAGAGAGTCATAAGAACTGGCCATGCTTAGTTCATCAACAATTTAACAGATATCTCTTAAGCACCTAAATGTGCCAGTACTGGAGATAAAAATATTAATAAATCAGAGAAGTCTGTGGGGATGGGAACAGGAAGTTAAGGCAAAGAGAAATAGACACAAATGAATCACTTGATCCTTTCAATACAGTGTGTTAAATATGTTATATAGACAAATATATATGTGTTATAGGTGAGTATATATGTATATATGTGTATATATGCATATAGATACATATCTCATATGTATGTATAAAATACCAGGTACTAATTTTATGTAAATTACTGTGTTAATTATATTACAAACATTATCACACTTAATATTCACTCAAAAGTGTTGTTTTGAGGATTGTCATTCCCAGATTATAAAGGAGGAGAATGGAGACTCAGAATATAAAACTTTCCTAAGGTCAAAAAGCTGATAAGTGCAGTTATGGGATTAAATCCAGGTGGGCCTGGTGCCAAGCCTCTGCTCTCAGGCACCTCACTGGACTCCTTCTCATGGGAAAGACACATAGAAGAATGGGGGTAATGCCTGAGGTTTTACATTTTATTTTGTTTTAGGTATCTGTCTTTTGTGCAGATAGTAAATTCACATGACTAAAAACTCAGCAACACTAAAGCATGCAGTGGAAGGTTTGGCTCCCATACCGACCACTCTCTACTTCCAGTCTTCACCATCCTTGTCCAAAAGCAAAAACTTCTCTAGTTCCTTGTTGTTACTCAAGAGTTCCCTTACACAAACATGTTTATTCCTCCCCCTCCACTACACAGAGAGGTACACAATACACACTGTTCTGCAACTTGCTTTTTAAATTTAATGGTGTATCTTAGAAATACTTCCATGTCAGAATATAGTGTCCTCTTTCTTTCTTACAGCAACACAACATCATATTATATGGATGTAACATAATTTATTTAAATGTTCCATTCCCCATTTGATGGACATTTCTGGGTACTCTCTTGACCATGCTACGTTATAGAATTCTCTTACTGATGGTAGTAGTTTTTCTGTTGTTTTTGGGGAGGGGAGGGTTCCTGGATCACAATATCTTTTCCAAATATTATGCTTCTACTTTCTTTTTCTTGTATCATGTCATTGGCTATTATAAGACCCGAGTTTTGGTTTTTTTGTGTGTTTTTTTTTAAGATTTTATTTATTTATTTGACAGAGAGAGATCATAAGTAGGCAGAGAGGCAGGCAGAGAGAGGGAAGCAGGCTCCCCGCTGAGCAGAGAGCCCAATGTGGGGCTCGATTCTAGGACCCTGAGATCATGACCTGAGCCGAAGGCAGAGGCTCAACCCACTGAGCCACCCAGGCGCCCCTATAAGACCCGAGTTTTTAAAGGAAAGGGCTTAGTCAAAAAGAAGACTGGTATTTGAGGCAGGGAAAACATCAAAAACACAAAGATGTGAAACACCACGGCATTTACTGACAAGTACAGAAAACCAGGAATATTAAGATGTAAAATAATACGAGGTGAGGTGTAAAGGGAGAGAAGGGGAACAGATGCTGTAAGGAAATGGGGCTGTATGAGGATAGGAGGTGTTTGCAGTGAGTGACATGACAGGATCAAGCAATACTAAGACAGATCCATTGAAGGTGGCAAGCCTTAGGAACTCTTGAATGATTTCAGGTGAAACGTGTTAAAGGTAAACAATGTCAGCAGGGAGAGAAAAGGATAATAACAACACTCAGCAGATAAAACTGGGGAACATTCATGCACAGGCATGAAGACGGAGACTCTGGAAAGACAGACGATGTCAGTAAGCAAGATAAAGTGTGCAGGTGGAGGAATAAGTTTTAGAAGGTAGAGGAGAAATTTGACTTTCAAAATGATAATCTTAAGATACACTTCACTAAACAAAGTGTCCTGTGGTACCCCAGCTTTACTACCTGAGGGGCCAGATGGGTGTGTTGATATCTTATTTGACAAATCATAGAGCTTTTACGTAAATCCAGCTTTCTTAATGCCAAAATCAGCAATCATTCCACTGTGCATGCTGTTTTAGAAATAAGTAGAGCATGTGAAAACATAATTGAAAGCAAGCACAGATGATTAAAATGAGAAGAAAAACTTCAAGAGAAAAGAGTAGATGTAGTGTGCTACGTAGACGGACTGGGACCACACAGCAGAATCCCAACAGCTGGGGCTTTGGCCCAGTCTAAGTGACCCAAATTTAGAGACTACAACAGAAAATAATAGTTTTTGTAGATTATGCATATTGTACGTAATCCCCCTACATCATCTCTGTTGGGAAGGTCATCTGCCATGAGCTCTGAACATCCCTACACATGCTTGCTTGGTCTGTCAAGAAACCAAGGCCCTGGCCACATTTTACCTAGCCTCAGAGTGTGTTTGCAAAAATCAACCTTGAGGACTGAGATAATATCTCCCTCTAGGACAAAGCGAAGGCTGTTCACTGCGGGCTATAAAACAGCGTGTTCCCCAAACTCAGAGTCCTCTGCTATAGTGCAACTCACTGCATGTTCAGGTGGCCATCTGGGCTCCTCCGGGTTGTTCTTGTGAGACTCGGGAGGGGTAGGGGCAAGAGGAACCAAGCAAATGTTCTGGTGGTGATGCTGCTTGCTGTGCTATGCGTATTAAGGTCCTTTCTCTCTGAAGTATGAGTAGATAGCTTCTGGCCAGCATTTACAAAACAGTAACGGGCTAATGTATTAGCTTAGAAATAAGGTAAAGTCATATCCTAGATCCTGAACATCCCTGCCCCTGACAGTTTTGAGTCATGGTACTCAGTTTGCCCTTATTAGCTCCTGGGAGCCCCCTTAGCCACCAAGAGATAGATATGTAAGAAAAAACAAGGTGAGGGCACCCACTTGGCCCAGGCCCCTTTGTGCTTGAGCAGGCCCCCCGTTGAATCTCCTCCCTTCGTGCTCATTGTTTCTTCATGATATGAGAGGATGTCATAGCTTATGGCACTGTCATTATGAATTTTGTTTCTTATAAACAGAGTGAGTGCAGCAGAATTGTTCAGGGTCTTTCTAAAAGCTCAGCACTGAAAATCCACTCAACCACTTCTATACTTTTGTCTCCAGTTTACTGATTGTGCTCCCCACCCTGACCTTTTGCTGTGCCACCAGCATCAATCAATATGCCAGAATCCCCATTGCTGATAGGATCAGAGAGAGAAGAGATCTGAGAGAGGAAATGCAGAACCAACTTAGGAATGTAAAGTAACCCATTAACTGCGTTCTCATTATTTATATGACACTTTCCCCATGGTAAATAATCCTTTGCTTTGGCCTGAGACGGAAAAGGCCTCCCACAGCCACAGGACAAAGGGTAAATCAGAAATAAACCAGCTCATGCAAGGCTAGGCTTATCATCATCTGGTGGTTCACAAAACCTTAAAGCTTGAACTTGAGTTAAGCTGATCCCAGATTGCCAGCAACCCCTCAGAAGCAAACATTTTTGAGGATGATTTCAGAACTCTCTGCTTCAAAATACTTCTATAAACTATGTTCAAGTACAACACCAACGTTCCATGATAGCCAGAATTATGAGGAGACAAGACCGTGAGTAAGATCCAACAGAAAGGATAAACAACAAATCTACAAGGAATCTAGGCATGGGAACCATTAGACACAGACTGTACAGCCATGATTTCCATTTCCTCACAGACCTTTCCACGTGTGGCTGATATAATCTTGAATGGCGCATACACTCTCACCTAATCAGTTGCTTGTCCTCCTCTCTGGTCATTCCCATCTTCTCCTAAAATTCCCCTCTTTCATTTTACTCTTTCAGAACCTTCTCAGTCTCTTTTCCCTCAGACATCTTCTCTTCTGTTTTCCAAGGCGCTCAGATTTCTCTGTAATAGTTAAATATGCTGGCTCTGCAGACACCCTGCCTAAATTCAAATCCTGGCTCTACAGTTTCCCCAGGGCAAGTTGCTTAACCTCTAAGCCTCCATTTCCACATCTGTCACATGTACCTACCTTAGAGGGTTGTTATTAGGGTGAAATTAATTAATACAGGCAAAGTGTTTATAATGGGGCATCTCATCAGACAATGCTTAGTAACTACTAGCTATGAAACCCCCAAACCACTAAGCTTTAGTGTGCTAGGGTTATAGTCAGGGCACATAGCCAGCTGCTTCCCTCTGCCTGGAGGTTCTGATCTGAGTTTCACTTTATTCTTGGGCCACTGTCATGACAATCTCCCTGACAACACTGGCCCCAGGGACCTACTACCACTTCAGAGCTATGGACAAAAATCTACCACCCAACCCCATCACTCACCTCCTTAACACCAGCGCCACACGTAGGGGCTCTGAATGCCTTTTTTGACTTACCAAAATACTGAAAGAGAACAAAAGAGGTAGTATCTGAAACGTAAACCCTTGAGCTTATACGGTAGAGGTCTCTGTTCCTACCACAACTCATAAGCCTCCAGCACCCAGCCTGGGTGCCATTCTGCCTCCTGTCTCAGGACAGAGCAGCTCCCTCCCAGCTTCTAA